GGCGCGGCGTGGCTGCAGCAGCTGCCACGTGGCTGTGGGCCTCCCGCAGCAGCAGCAGCAACAGCAGCAAGACGGGCCCGCAGCAGGGGATGCCTGCGGCGCTTTTCAGGGCTTTGCAGTCTGCAGGTCAGCGGCGACAATCACCAAGTTCTTTTCTCGTTTGTAATCTTTTCTGTCCTTTATTCATTTCAATCTTGGAAATCTAATTTAAAATCTTCTTGCAGAAACATTTTTCTTGGCTGCTGCTGCTGCTTCCGGTGTACGTACAGGTCTCCAGGCGTGCGCCTGCTGGTGCTCTGGGGCGCAGCAACAGCAAGCCAGCTGTCGCTGGAGGCCCCGCATGCAGAACTCGCAGGCGAGCCAGGCCTTGCTGCTGCTGCTGTTGCTGCTGCTGCCGCTACCGCTTGTGCTTTGTTCTTATTACTGCGGTTGCGTGTTCTTCTGCTTCTGTTATCACTATTTTTCCATTGGTGCTGCTGCTGCAGCTGCTGCTGCAGCTGCTGCCGCTATTCTTGCTGCTGCTTGCTGAGAAAAGGCCAAGAGGCCTACAGACCTGCAGGCTTTGCTGCTGTGGCTGTCTTCAGTGTGGCTGCTGGCGGAGCTTCTGGCCCGGCGGAGTCCTCAGAGGGCAGTTGACTCTGCAGTGGAAAGAGTGGGTTTTGGCTTTTTGGAATTTCTATTTTGTTTTTTTGTCCCTTTTTGTCCTTTTTGCCCCAGTCTTTGTTGACAAAAAGAAAGAAAACCCCAAGGCAGCACTCAGACTGGCAAGGGGGCCCCCTTTGCTGCATGCAGGTCCTCAAGAAGCTGACAGAGGCAGAGAAGAAAGAAGCTTCAGTTGCCCTGGCCCTTGTGCTGGGGGACGAGGGGCCCCCAGGGGGCCCCCCGGAGCAGCCAGAAGCAGCTCTGCAGCAGTCTTTGGGGGCCCCCCATCGGCCTTTGCGGGTTTACTTGAAGGGCAGGGGCTCTGCACAGGCTCTGCTGTTCCGCGGGGTGAGCTGAGGGCCTTTTGCAGCTTTTGCTGCTGCCTCAGGCCCCCTCTGAGGCATTTCTGCGGGGTGTGGGGCCCCACACCTGCAGCTAAGAGGCCTCTCTGTTGGCTGCTGTTTGTGGGGCTGCTCAGGGCCTGCAGACGCCACCAGCTGATGTTCAGCAGGAGAACGCCGGTAAGCCGCAGCAGCAGCAGCGCAGCAGCAGCAGCGCAGCAGCAGCAGCGCAGCAGCAGCAGCGGGAGGTGTCTGGACAGTTAGGGGCCCCGGCCGTGTGGGGAGTTGACGCAGCAAAGCTCCGGGTGTATGTACACTGCGCAGCAACTTTAGGGGCCCTGCGAATGGTAGAGATCAACACAGAAGTCGAGGGCCCCGCGTGGGTCTGTCTTGGGAATGGCCTCTTCAGCGGTGCCCCAGAAAGTGTGGAAAGCATCAGCTTTCCTTGCGGGGGAGCCAGCGAGCAGCTGCAGGTTTGCTTTTTTGCTGCTGCAGCTGCTCTTTTGTGTGCACTAGTACTGCTGCGGCTGCTCTTTTGTGTGCACTAGTGCTGCTGCAGCTGCTTTTTTGTGTGCACTAGTGCCGCTGCAGCTGCTCTTTTGCATGCACTAGTGCTGCTGCAGTGTCTTGGGCGCTGGCTAGCTGAAGCGGACCCAAGAGGGCCTTCAAATAATACTCGTTGCGCTTGTTTGCGTCCCTTTGCAGATGCTGCACAAACTGATTCCTACCGACGCAGCAGCAGCACCGAGAGCAGCAGCCTCAGCTGCTGCTGCAGCAGGCAAAATAACCCTTGCCATGAGGCTCTAACTGCTGCATCTTTCAGCTGAAACGGCTCCATTAGTGGGGCCCCTGGACACAGTCCAGGGGCCCCTGACACAGTTGGCCGAAAGATCATATGAAAGAAAGG